TTATTTGGTTTGCTTTTGATATACAAATGAGACGCATCTATATTGAGTAGACTAAGTCCAGATCCTTGCGACTGAAGGAGGTAGGGGGTGGGGGTCGACTGGTGGCATAAGTAAAGCTAGTTTAGTTAGGTTTAATGGTGCTCGCAACTGCACAAGGTCATATGAACGCCAAGGGTGGATGTCAATAGAAAAGACCAAACGGAGAATCAGGCTTGCTCTCTTCACCCCTCTTGTCTCAACAGCACAGAATCTGCTTCGACTGTCAAGGCATCCCGGAAATAGCAGTTAACAAAAGAGAGGGACAAACATACAAAAGAAGTAGGGGAAAATGACGTTGGTAAGGATTAGGGAAAAAAACAAACCCAGGGTGGTGCCACTGACTGAAGTGTCTTCAGGTCATTACCAAAGGGGGACATTACCTTGTTCTGTTGCACAGTAGAATTGTAATTGTAAAAGGGCTGATTCATCAATGTTATGTTCATAACTGCCTGAACTGCAACAGGGAACTGCTGCTTTTTCTTTCCTAATCCTCATTATCGTCATTTTTTCTCTACTTCTTTTGTATGTTTGTCATACTCTTGTGACCCCCGAAATCCGGGATGCCTTGACATTCGAAGCAGACTTTGTGCTGTTGAAGCAAGAGAGGTGAGCAGAGTAAGCCTAATTCCCTGTAAGGACTTCTCTGTTGACATCCACCACTTGGCGCTCATATGACCTTATGCAGTTGCGATCGCCGTAAAATCTCTACTAAAACAACGCAACAAACGAGGAAAGAAAAAGCAGCAGTTCCCTCTATGTTGTTCCGGCATAGCATGAGCATGACATTGATAAATCATCACATTTACAATTCTTTACTGTGCATAAGAATATATTAATATACCCCCCCCCCCTCTGGAAATAACCTAAAGACAACTTCAGTCAGTAGCATTTCCCAGGTGGGGGGTAAAGTTAACGAGAAAATGGTTCCTCGATCTAATGCTTGATATATTTTTTATATTTTTTAAATATAATATAGTATAATTGTTTTCAGAACAAAAAAACTGTTGGGGGCTCTCGTGGCCTAGAGGTTAAGGTGTTGGCCTCTCATTCAAAGGTCCCGGGTTGGAATCCGGGTAGCGACCAAAAAATGTTCTCTCTAAAATTGTCTCCTTTCACCTCCTTTCCTGCTCTCTAGCAATGTTCTGTTGTCTACTTTCATTTCCACTTTCTGCCCCCACCCCCTCACCTCCTTTGCCCCCTCCTCTGGGCTCCTGACTCTTTCTGCAGCCTTTCTACAGTTACTCATTGGCTCCTCCTTACTGCTGTCTTTCTGCCACACCCCTTATCTTCTGGTAGGAAAGATCTACACTTAGCCTTCTCGGACAAGGGCGAAAAATCTCGGAGGGCCCGTGTGCAAGTTGCGCACGTTAAAGATCCCTTGGTGGTCTAAAATCGATAAGAGTAAGCTTCGGCCGCCACCCGGGCAAAATTCAAAATTTCCTACCAACTGAAAATATTAGGTGTGTCCCGCGCGCTCATATGACCTTATGCAGTTGCGAGCGCCGTAAAACACTTTACAAAAACAAAAACAAAAACTGTTGTTTTCTTGTGCTCGGCTGTTCTTTCGATCCTGTTTCAATCCTGCAAACCATTATTGTGTCAGTCCTCAATCCTGATAATATATTAAGCCTTATTATTTCTAGATTCTGAAATCATCCACGTAGTTTGAGAAGAAATCTCGTGCGCACTGTTCGTGAACGGAAGGTTCATTCACATATTGCACTCAATGCTCGCAGCAGGAAAATGCCACAGCCACCTTTCATACACATTGTCACGGCCGTACTAAAAATCTAGAGTATCCGAAGTGGTGAGATTGATGTCGACAGTGTAGCTTATGATGGAGCCTCAAATTCCTCCTTTTTTTTGTTGTTGACAATACTTAATTTGGGAAATCAACAGTTACATTTTAAACATTGATAGTGAGAACCGCAAGCGAATAAAAAAAAATTATTTCTTTCTGTCTGTCTTTCTGTCTTTCTTTCTGTCTTCTTTCTGTCTTTCTTTTGTTTCATTTCATTCTATTTGATTTTAGTAATTCTATTCTATTTTATTTTACTTTTTTTATTTACTTTTTTTTGGAGGGGGGGGGGGGGGTCAAAAACCTAATTGTTGCCAACAATTTATATTAAGATCTCTATTTATAAATGTAAAATAAAATAGATAATAGGAGACAACAAAACATTACTAAGGGACATTTTGTGTCTTGATTTCTGCACATACAAAACTGTCTTTTCGAGATAAACCTTTAAAAGAAAACAACAACAACAACAACAACAACAACAAAATAAAGATTTAAAAAACAAAAAACAACAACAACAACAAAACCAACCATCGTACACATACGTGAGACTCTTTTCTCCGCCATTTACAAATGTTTAAAAAGATCAAGATCTAAAGCATTTTAATCTTCATTGTTAAATGTGAGGCATTGTAGTACAATCAGGCGCTCGTCAAAATAATGAAATTACAGTTTTTGTTTTTTGGCTCAACACCTTTTTATATCCATAATTTCCATCTGAATTTTATTGGAAAACATAGATTAAAGGAGCAAAATGTGTAAATGTCCAGTGTTTAAGGACTCTCAAGCTAGATCTAGGGAAATTACCAAACTTTGGCGGCCATTTTCTCGCATATCATACATCTGAAACAAGGCGACCGCACCTCATTCAATTTCAAATATCTCAACTTCTATTCAAGATAGATGGGTACGGGAGCTCTCGTGGCCTAGAGGTTAAGGTGTTGACCTCTCATTCAAAGGTCCCGGGTTCGAATCCGGGTAGCAACCGAAAAATTTTCTTCTCTAAAAGTGTCTCCTTTCACCTCCTTTCCTACTCTCTAGCAATGTTCTGTGGTCTGCTTTCATTTCCACTTTCTGCCCCCACCCCCTCACCTCCTTTGCCCCCTCCTCTGGGCTCCTGACTCTTTCTGCAGCCTTTCTACTGTTACTCATTGGCTCCTCCTTACTGCTGTCTTTCTGCCACACCTCTGATCTTCTGGTTGGAAAGATCTACACCTAGCCTTCTCGGATAAGGACGAAAAATCTCGGAGGGCCCGTGTGCAAGTTGCGCACGTTAAAGATCCCTTGGTGGTCTAAAATCGATAAGAGTAGGCCGCCACCCGGGCAAAATTCAAAATTTCCTACCAACTGAAAATATTAGGAGTGTTCCGCGCGCTCATATGACCTATGCAGTTGCGAGCGCCGTAAAACACTTTACAAAAACCAAAAGAAAACAGATGGGTATTTTTTTCATCCAAAGCAAAGCAAATGAATAAGCGGTCGGATGATACCGATAACTATACAAGCCCAAAATTTGACGAGCGCCTGATTCCACCGCGTCGTGACGCAGGTATCTATTCTAGCTGTGGCAAACCCATGTCTGTTTTGTAGGAAAGGATTGAATTCCAGTTCTTTCACTGAAATGCCAGATCTATATCTGTTTGGAAGTCTTCAAAATTTGAATTGACATAGATAGCGTGTCGAAAGACGTGTCACGTGAGTTCTGCCATGTTCCATGACGTCAGCACCCATGCTGTTCTCGGCCCGCTGCTCTTGCTTCTGCTGGACCCAGAACCGACTCTCTGCGGAGTCACTCTACCAACAGCAGTAGCGACAGGCTGTGGGGGTACTGGTGCTAGTGGGGGAGGCGGCGGAGGCGAGCCTCGCAGATGGGGTCCTGCCTGCCAGTACGAGTGTCATTGTCATGGCAACGACGCGTGTGACGTCAGTGATGGTTTCTGTGTCCGAGGATGTGAAGAGAGTTGGACGATAATCGGTTCCGGGGGTCCTTGTTTTCGTGTTGTGGGGACCACGGAGGTTCGATCCGATTCCGCCGGTTTTACCGGAGAACCGAATTCAACGACAGAGATGACGACAGATGACCATGACAACGTTACCGAAAGGACGTCTGATGTGGACTCAAATATAGAGAGGAGATCGGGACGTGATGACTTCAAACAAATCAGTGCTTTCAAGTCAAAGAAACACGGGAGATCGCCAGTTCATTATGGTGTGAAACTGAAAAGATTAACGCGGCGGGACAATAATAACACACGCGACTTGATGTACACTCCTTACACACTGACGTCACGAGTAACGTGTTTTAGGGCGTCGAATAGGACGGTAGGGACATCAATAGTCATATTTCCAGTATCGATACTAGTCCATTTGGTACTCATACAGTTCAATGTTTCGTTCATTTCTTCTTCTTACTTCCAGCTCTTTGTTTACCACGAAGCATTTCAAGAATATCGAATAAAAGGTGAAATGGACACTTTCAGAACGCCAAAAGGCGCCACTTCGGTTCGATTTTTCTTCAAGAACGGGTCAACTTTCGGGAATTCCGCGAAACTATTTATAGCAACACACGACGCAAGTGCAGCCACTTTGTGCCCTCAGGTAAACGTAACCCAGTTTTTGGTGTACGGCACAGCGATATGTCCTTTGGGAAAGTGGGGTCGTACGTGCGATCGTACTTGTGAGTGCATTTGCGACGGACGCACGTGCCGTATTTCACCACCGGAGTGCGTGCAAAAACCTCCTATCTGCACCTTAGGCATGTACGGCCCTATGTGTTCTCTGCCCTGCCCGCGGAGATGCAGTGAGAAGGGGAAAGAGGAGGAGGAGGAGGAGGAAGGGGAAGAGGAGGAGGAAAAGGACTCCAGCGAAGAGTGCCACATTATTTCAGGCGTCTGCAGACGATGCTCGACGGTCGAGACGCTAAACGGAAGTCACTGCGCGTCGGGGCGAGACCAAGTTTTAAAGTACAACAACAACAGTAACAACAGCAATAACAACAACAACAACAACAACAACAACAACAACAGCAGCAGCAGCAGCAGCAGCAGCAGCAGCAGCAACAACAACGATTCTCGCTCTCCACCACAAAACCAGCTTAGGTGTTGGATAAACGAGAAGAAGGTACCGTCCGCCACCCACGCCCCCACCGTCCCCCTCACCGCCACCGCCCCCCTCACCGCCCCCCTCACCGCCACCGTTACGTACCCACCGTTACGTCACTTAACCGCCAACACATTCAACTTTGGTCACATGATCGACTCACCCCTGGCCGATGACGACGCCAATATCTCAGACCCCATCCCCAGGCTGCAGTCATCAAACCACTACAGCCACAACTACAATATTTATAATACTAACGACGACGACGACGAAGACGATGAGCTCTCCAGCACAGCCAAAGCCGCCCTGGTCGGGTGCACGGTGGTGGGGGTTATGCTGGTGGCCATCCTGTGTTCCTGCCTCCGCTCCTGCACCCCGTGCAGCAGCCCGTGCAGTCAGCTGTGGCCGACCCAGACCACGACGGGCACCGACACCACAGTGGTGGACGCCAACTCCAGCTTCATCGTCTCTCTCTCCGAGACTGGCTGCGAGCTCAAGGTCAGGGGTCGTTTATTTGCAGTAACAGTTTTACGGCACTTGCAACGCAAATAGATCGTATTGTTTTATCACACCCCGAGACTGTCTGAGAGCTTAAAGTCTGGGGTCGTTTCGTTTAGTAATATTGGGTGCCCATTAGGGGATCGGATCGGGTCGTGTCGGGTCGTGTCGGGTCGGTTTGCTAGCCAGATGGAGGGTTCAAAGCTGCTATCGTGACACAAGCCGATCGCGCCTGACTCCTCGCCTAAAAGACAAACGCCTTTGTTTTCAGGCGAAGAATCGAGCGATCATCCCAACTCAACTTTACCCGACTCCACGCGACCCGACCCGACCCGACCCGATCCCATTCGCAATGGGCACCCGGTATAACAGTTTTACGGTAATTGCAACGCAAATAAGTCATACTGTTTGATCGTTGTCTCTTTCTCCGAGACGGCTTGCAAGTTCAAGGTCAGGGGTCATTTCGTTTGTTTGTTGGTCTGTATATCTGTTTGTTTGTTTGTTTGAGTAAAGGGAAGCACATCGACACAACAATGATCATTCAGTGCTGGGGAAAGATAAGACAAACCGACAGAAAGAAACAACAGGGGGAAAGGTAAAGAAGTAGGACCTACCAATGGCATCCTTCAACCACCCGCAGGTAGTTTAGTCTTAGGAACAGTTTTAAGGCACTTGCAAAAAAAAAATGGTCGCATAATCATCAACTCAATCTCGGAGACTGCCTTCAAGCTTAAAGTCTGAGATCATTTCGTTTTAGTAAGAGGTTTTAGTTTTAGTGAGAGTTTTTAGTTTTAGTAAGTGTTTTTAGTTTTAGTAAGAGTTTTTAGTTTTAGTAAGATTTTTAGTTTTAGAAAGAGCTTTTAGTTTTAGAACGAGCTTTTAGTCTAAGTAAGAGTTTTTAGTTTAAGTAAAAGTTTTTAGCCTAAGTAAGAGGTTTTTAGTCTTACTTAAAGAGTTTTTGCGACACTTGCAACACAAGAAGGTCTCTTCCTCCCACCTCTAACCCCTCCCCCTCTGTTTCCCATTCCCCTTCCCATCTTCTCTCCATCCCTCCCTCCACTCATCCCTCTCCCTCGCCTTTCCCTCACCTCTCCCTCACCTCTCCCTCCCCTCCTCTTCTGTTTCCCATTCCCACTCCCTTCTTCCATCCATCCCTCCCTCCTCTCACCCCTCCCCTCTCCCCCTCCCTCCCTCCACTCACCCACCCCTCCCTCCCTCTCCTAACCCCTCCCCTCCCCTCTCCCTCACTCCCTCCCTCCAGGAGAGAGATATGAGACCATCGTTCTCAGAGGCCACGAGTGCCTTGGCCAGTGACATCACCAGCTGTGGCGGGAGGAGAAGCGTGGATAAACGGAGGGTGTCTGCTGGGGAAAATGGTCAGTGGGTGGTGTTGTCGTTGTTGTTGGTGTTGTTGTTGTTGTTGTTGTTGTGGTGGTGGCGGTGGTGGTGGGTGTTATTGTTGTTGGTGGTGATGGTGATTGTGGTGTGTGATGTTGTTGTTGAGCTGGTGGTGGTGGTGTGTTGTTGTTGTTGTTGTTGTTGTGGTTGTGGAGGTGGTGGGAGTGGGTGGGGGTGGTGGATGTTGTTGTTGTTCTTGGCGTTGTAGTTGTTGTTGTTGCTGTTGTTGTTGTTTTTGTTGTTGTTGTTGTTGTTGTTGTTGAAGTTGTTGTTGTTGTTATTGTTGTTATTGTTGTTGTTGTTGTTGTTGTTGTTGTTGTGACGTTGTTGTTGTTGTTATTGTTGTTGTTGTTGTTCGTGGTGGCAGTGGTGGTTGTGGTAGTGGTATTATTGTTGTTATGTTACTGTTGCTGTTATTTTTTGTAGTTGCTGTAGTTATATCGGTTTGGTGTTGATGTTGTCGTAATGGTGGTTTTGGTATTGTTGTTGTTGCTGTGGTGGTGGTGGTGGGGGTGGGGGTAGTGGTATTGGTGACAACTATTTTGACTATACATACCAGTAACTAGGT